GATATTCCTCCAAACAATGGAGATGATACTGGACCTTATTCCAGCATGATTACAAGACCCGGCCTGGCAATACATCTACGATTTCGAGCTAGTGGGATGGAGATACCACTACGCCATGGACCAACGTGGCTATGTCACATGCCCTCAAGAGCACAGACAAGAGAGACTCTTATGAGGATGGGAAGACTATGATGATCTTCAAGTCCTCATGGCCCAATGACTTCAATAGAGTCATCAAACCCGCGTCACCAATAAATCCATCACCAGCATCACCTCTACGGAAACTGATAGGCGTGATCCGGAACGCCGAGGCCACTGTAAATAGAGGAATCCGCGTTACTCCAATGGCACCCCTACAAGCAGAACTGGAGCAGATTCAAGATAAATGCTGAGTAGCTGAAGCGAAATCAACATTATCGAAACTGTTACTACAGTGACGACCCAGTGGACGTACACGTATACGTGCATCTAGACACCGAGGCCAATTGATGGAATCCATGCTAAACTGGACATGTATGAGGCATACTCGAGTTACCGACATCGTCACCGACAACCTACTGGAAATGGAAGAGGAGTCAAATGGGTTGAGTGCAGAAATCCCCATATTTCCTCGACCACGACCATGGATTTGTGCTCCACCGATGAGCATGGTGACGTCGTCCTACTACAATCACTTGGCAACAATTCTCTTTGCAACGACATGCAGCAGTTACTGCGTTACGACAGAATACGGACCGGCACACGACTGCTATGTCAACCTCGAACGCTTGGTGGTTTCTTAACCAGACGGAACAATCATTATTGCTACAACATTCTACAGTGCAGCTGAATTCTATTTACCGCAACTTAGGCACGGACGTAAAGTCATAAAGTCACCAGTCCTAACCATTGGGACAAGAAGGGATGTCATCAAGAGGGTTAGGCTCCATATATCCACCTTCCTCAAGGAAAGCCTCCCCAGTACCCTCCCTAGAGAGAGAGAGAGGATCGACAGGGTTATCCCAGTGCCACGACACACCCCCCCGCTGGGATAGCGTGTACACCAGGAATTGAACCCTGGATGGCTCTGATACCATATCATAAAGTCACCAATCCTAACCACTAGGACAAGAAGGGGTGTCATCAGGAGGGTTAGGCTCGATATATCCACCTTCCCCAGGGAAAGCCTCCCCAATACCCTCCCTAGAGAGAGAGAGAGAGAGAGAGAGGATCGATAGGGTTATCCCAGTGCCACGACACTTATCACAATTAGCTATGCTATTCTACAACACGAGTTGGAGCGTCACACGTCCCAATACTCCAATATGGGATACCTGCTACTGTACCTGCATTCGTACATGTTCACGAGTGTGTGGAATGAAATACAGAGGAGCTGCTGTTTAAGCACAACTGTGTTGGCTCGATTTTCTCTGCCTACTTTGAGCCTTACAACCCTCAGTATATGCTGAAAACTCAGCGTCTACCTAGTTTTGAGGGGGGAAGTGTGAGAGGATGAGGCTTGCCGAATCCTTGATCACTACTATTTGCTATTTGCTATTTATTGTGTGCTAATATGTGTATTTTATTTTTTATGTAAATCCCTACACTCTTTTTTACGCATTGATATATGCCATACATATCATATGTGTTATGGAGTGTTTCGGACTTTCCTTGCGTAACACGTTTTCTATTGCGTGGAGTGTTACGTTACCGTCATCGTATCTCTAGAATCCTTACCGTGCTTCTAGGTGGTTTTCCTACGGACGGTTCCACTCATTTCTAGAACTCTCTTAGAAGAACCTAGTTACCCTTCTTTAGAGTTCTTGTAGGTATAAATTGGATTGCATCTTTGCTTGCATTCAATTCTTGATTAGTATCATTCAAGCTTCCGCTAAATCCTGCACATGTCAAAAAGAAGAAGGAAGCAATGGAAGATCATCTGAAAACGGATCGGGCCAGGAACATAAGACGGTTGCTGGAGGATGGATCCGACTTAAGATGCTCTCCTGCTGTTAGTTGTTTGATCAGGAAGGCTAAATCAGAAGGTGAATCTGGGAATTCCCTAGGTAAAGCTTTTCCTGCACCAGCCTTAGCTCTATCGCTTGTTCTCTTTCCATTGATCTGCAGAGGAGATTCTCTCTGGCATAATCTAGACGGAGTCAAGGAAGGGAAAATCGACGGTAAAGGATCAGCGACAGAGACACATCTAACCACTGGGAAGAAATCGGCGGGAGAAACGTTCCCGCCAAAGCTACCAGACATGCCCAATGCTTGAGGAAATCACGCGCTTTGCTGGCGATGTATGGCATGCCCCCATTTCCCAAAATGCTCGACCCCCCGTACTATACCCATTTTGGTTTTCAATTGATGAAATGTGGAAATAAAATTCTGCTCTGTTGTACAAATATTTGCCTCCGCCCAGTATAATTTACGCGCGTGAGCACATTTAATGCGTCGCGACACAAGTACTCCCCGTGGCTGCTGGCCTCCGATTTACAAATGGTTTCCACAAAATCCTCTGCTCGTGTCAGTCCTAATTGGGTCCTCCCTAATCAATATTTCCGTCCAAATACATCTAGCGCGATTCGTAAACAGTGTGATCCAATATTGGGATTCAAGTGTATTGATTTGTCGCGGGCCACGGGCAATACTTTTGTCGCCACGCATTAAATGCGTGCACGTGCATAAATTGTACTGGGTGGAGGCAAATGTTTGTACAACAGACCAGAATTTCATTTCCCACATTTTGTCAAATGAAAACCAAAATCGATACAATACGGGGGGGGGGGGGGGGGGGGGATCGACCGTTTTGGGTGACGGGGGCATGCCATACATCGCCAACAAAAAGGGTCAACCGTTTTGAGGCCTCCTCGATTCCCCGTCGAAGTGTGCAATTTACTCCCAATGTTTGGAGAAGGCGGGAGATTCTCAGAAGTGATGTTGTTGTCAGAAACTCAGCCACTAACCACAGAGTTAAAATGGCTTGTTAATAGCGGGTCAGTGCACCCATAGCCCCCCAGGCTTTGCACTTGTAGCCCCCAAGGCTCTGCACCTGTAGCCCTTCCCCAAGGAACTTCTCAAGGGTAACCCCAACGGGTCACTCGACAGTTGTCCATTGAGGCATTCTCAAGGAAGCGGTAGGCCGTCAATGTCCCTCAAGTTCGAGTTTCAGTAAAGATAATTCAGCTGTTAAATTATATACTTTGTTATATAATTGGTAGGCTTGGTAGGTGTTATTGCAACCAACTGTAGAGGGTACAACCCCCCTCCTTGTATGCCTCTCTCTTCTATTCTTTGACTCCTTTTCTCTTGTAACTTTCTCCTAGCTAAACCCTCACGTCATTTTCATGGCTTCCTACCGTTCCTAGCTATCTAGCTCTTGTAACATGGTAACAGAGCAGGTTCCCTTTCCCGGGCCTGCTCCCCACGCTTCCGCCACGCACTCCTTCTCTCCCTCTCGCGCTGCCATGGCGGCCTCGTCGTGCTGCTGTGGCGGCGTCGTCGTGCCGCGGCCGTCGCGACGCGCTGCCGTGGCGTCGCGCCGTCGTGGCGTCGACGTCCAGCCGTGGCGGCGTCGTCGACGTCAAGCCGTGGCGGCGTGACGGCGCCGTCGACCTGCCGTCGCCGCGTCGACGTACCGCAGCGGCATCGACGCCGCGCTGTGGCGGCGTCGTAAGGATGCCGTGGCGGCGTTGTCGTGCTGCAGTCGGCCGCGCGACGCCTATGGCGCCGCTCGACTTGACAACCGCACGCCAGCCACGAGCGTGATTCTAGACCCCCCACCCCCCCCCCCCCCCCCCCTCCCCTCCTCTCCTTCCCCTGCGTCCCCTCTTCCTTGCCATAGCCGTCGTCTGCCTCGTGAGGGCCTTCCCCACAGCCGATAATATTGGCCATGCCGCCGAGAGGGCGGTGGCCGCTGCAGTCGCCTCTGACGTTGAAGTCGCCGCCGCGGCCGCTGTTGCCGCTGGCCTGTTGCCGCCGCATGCCGCCGCCGCCGTCGCTCTCGTCACTGCCGCCTCTGCCGCCATTGCCATCTCCCAGGCTGTGGGTGTTGACCAATTCCAGAGTCATCGCGGCTGCTGCTGGGAATGAGAGGGCTATGTTAAGGGGTGTGGGTGTGTGTGGGCTTGTTACTACCAAGCCTAGGGGTTGTGTTAAATTATATACTTCGTTATATGATTGGTAGGCTTGGTAGGTGTTATTGCAACCAACTGTAGAGGGTACAACCCCCCTCCTTGTATGCCTCTCTCTTCTATTCTTTGACTCCTTTTCTCTCGTAACTTTCTCCTAGCTAAACCCTCACGCCATTTTCATGGCTTCCTACCGTTCCTAGCTATCTAACTCTCGTAACATCAGCAGCATGAAGCCGTACAGCCTGACGGTTCGGCGGTTTTCGCTGCCCTGTCTGCTGTTTTGAAAGGGGAGCTGAAGGACAAGCACACCCTACAGTAGGGATTCACTATCGTACGCTTGCATGCCCCGAGCTTCAACAACTCATTACAGCCTGTAAAAAAAAGAGCCTTCAAGAAGCTGAGAATTAGTACATGAGTGTTGACTATGGTGTTTCAGACGAGTGACTATTTTGAACTCCATGAATTGGCCAAGCACACACTTCAATAGAATGGTTTCATGGCCCAGCCAGCACAACCCCTGCACGGATCCGTATCCTGGAATTTTTTTTAAATTTCTCTATTTTCTAACCGTTATTTCAGCATAGTCGAGAGGTTTTGTGTTGGAAAGTTGCACTTTCACCAAATTTGACATTTTTCACCATTTTTTCTCTGCATGCAGAGAGTTATCCCCTTTTACTCGCGTTCTTTATGGTCACACGCAACCTCATCCCCTTCATCACCCTCACACTCCACCCCAGTCGTGTACCCCTCTTTCGTCAAGCAACAAACAAACAACCAAGCACTCGCCAATTTAGGTCGTTGTTATCTTGGGCCTAGGTCGCCAATCTGCCATCACCCATTTCGTCTGGCTCCAAGAGATTCTTCTTGTCTGCATCGGCTTTTGTTGTCCGGATTGCAGCTATCCTCCATGTTTGTGCGAGGATGCTCTTTACCCGCTGGAATCTGCGAGGGGTAGGGCCGTGACTGTCGCATCGTTTAGATAGTCACGATCCATAGGCACCGCTTGCTTCCGTAGTGGGAGAAAAGGACGACAAAAAAAAAGAGAACGGAAGGGAGCGTTTATAGCTGCGTGTCAGCCGCGGCGAATAGTACCGCTTTAAGCGGCCGCGTTTAATCCGCCATGGCGAATCCCGGGGGAGGCGCCGAGGCCTTCGCGCGATTCAAGCAGTATGAGTACCGCGCCAACTCCTCTCTGGTGCTCAACCTCGAGTCGCGTCCGCGCGACTCGCACGAGCCCACCGGCGAGCCGGAGACGCTCTGGGGCCGCGTCGACATGAAGAAATTCGGTGACCGAGCGGGGCATGGCCGGCCCAAGGAGGTGGAGGAAGCTGCGAAGAAGAAGCGCGAGAAGGACAGATTAAAATCGCTCGCGGCGGGAGGCACCTCCGCGGCCGGCGCCGGCGGCGACGTCGGCTTGGATCTGCTCGGGAAGAAATCGACCAAGCGGCAGAAACGCGGTGGCGGCGGTGGCGCAGCTGGCGGGGCGGGGTTTCACGAAGATTCGGTTCTCTCGCAGCTGAAGAAGAACTTAGCTAACGACGGGAAGCAGTCGGGAAATGGAGATCGTCACTGACTTGACTACGTCGCCCAAACACCAACACCCCCACCAGGTTCTAGTGCCGATTTGGGCTATCGACCATTCCTGGCTGAATCAGGGGGGTGAAACGGTTGAATAAGGAAGAGTTGGCGACATCTGCATCAAAATATTTGTTGATGGTGGGGCAAGCCATAGTTTGATTGATGTGACAAAAGCGAAGAAACTCCGATTACAGCTGGAACGCTGCATGCCCGAAATCGAAGCGAGGTTGGTTGACGGCATCCCTCTGGCGATTCGGGAGCGCGTGCCTCACGTGCAAGTCACCTATGGTGAAAATATCAGTTTCACGATGAAGATGCTGACGACAACTTTGGACAGGTGCGACATGCTGCTGGGATGCGATTGGCTGCGCAAATACAACCCGAGCGTCGATCGGCGGACGGGCGATTGTCGCATAAAGTGGAGTGGCGAGTGGCGACGGCTACCCAAGTGGAGCAGTCAAGACTCGACAACATCGATGGTCAGCACAGTGACTATAAAGCTCGCGATGATTCGAGGAGCGCAACGGTATGCCGTCTGATGGATCCCATCACTGGATGTTGACACGCCGACCGACATCAACAAACTCTGTGCAGCTGTACCGGATGATTTGGCAACAGTGATTCGGAAGCACGCTGACATTTTATCCGACAACCTACCGGCGGGCTTGCCACCTCAGTGGCCGCATGACCACAAAATCGAGCTCGAACCCAGTGCGCAGCCTACTGTTCAGACCCAATGGCGGCTAACTCAGCCCTAGTTAGATGAACTTCGACGCCAGCTGGACTACCAGCTCGAGAAAGGTTTCGTCCGCCCCAACACATCACCCTTTACAACTCGGATCCTGTTCACCCCGAAAAAAGATGGCGGTCTACGTATGTGTATCGACTACCACACCTTGAACCGAGTTACCATCAAGTCTCGCAACCCCATTCCACGTGCAGATGACCTTATCGACCAGCTTCGTGGGGCCAATTTTTTTCTCAAAGATTGACATGCGAGGCGATTACCACCAACTCCGCGTGCACAAAGCTGACTGCTACAAGACGACGTTTCGAACCCGGTACGGGAGTTATGAGTACACGGTCATGCCCTTCGGCTTAACAAATGCGCCTTCGACATTCCAGTTGTCCATGAACGTATTTTTTCGGCCACTGCTGGATAAATGCATCATCGTGTACCTCGACGAAATCCTCGTCTACAGCACAACCCGGGAGCAGCATTTGAAGGATTTGGAAGCAATTTTTTCTCTCCTCCAGCAGAACCGACTCATCACCAAGGGCTCTAAGTGCGAGTTTTTAAAACACGAACTGGAGTTCTTGGGTCACGTGATTTCCATTGACGGTGTTAAAATCGACCCCAAGAAAATCGCAACAATACAAGACTAGAAGCCGCCGGCGGATTCTCGCGAACTTCAGAGTTTTATGGGGTTTGTTAATTACGTCACAAAATCCCAACCTCACCCAATTGTGATCCCCCCAATCTCCAATTATCCAATTGGAGATTCCGGGGATCCCAATGGGGATTCCCTCTGATTCCCCCTTCATCAATTCTCTCTCACATTGCCATGTACTTATAGTACTCTCTCACAATCCCAACCTAATCAATCATCTCAGCTCTATTTCTAACATGGTATCAGAGCGACCTATCCGTACACGTGGATCAAGGTCCTATTCTTAACGTGCCCGCGCTACGCGCACCTTATCGTCGCGACATTCGTCTCGAGTCGTTGGAATTTTTTACGTGCTCCACTCTGCAGTCGCGCCTCTCATCGTTGATCGCCTTCGCGCTCGACCTCGTTGAATTTCTCAACTCAAAAGCTTTCAAGCTTCTCATCGGCAATTTCCTCTTTGGTTCTCCTTGGTCGAATCTACCTGTCTGCCAACGCCATTTGGCTCTACCTCGAAGACCGCTTCCTGAACAAGACTACAGTGGGAGTAGCGATACTCATCCCCAACATGTTCCAAGTGCAGCTCGAGGACTCGCCAGGCATGGCGGACTTTGTCACCAATGTGCAGTCCATTCATGGTGAACTCAAGCAGTTGGGCATAGTCTTCCCCGAGCAAGCCCCTACAGCCGCTCTCCTAGTCGGCCTCACTCCGGCATACAAAGTCACACGCAAGATGCACTTGGGCCTTGCTCTTGCGGACCTCACATTTGCCAAGGTCTCATCGGCGCTCCTTTCTGCCGAAAAGGACAACAGTGCTCAAGCCAAGGCCGATGCAATCCGCGCTCCCGTGCCTCAGGCCTATGTCGCTTTGGCACCATTTCAGTGCAACCGCTTCCCCCCATGTCCCTACGTCATCAAGCATGGCCCTCGTGCTAGCCAGGTGTGTGGCGGCACCAACCACGCCCTCCCTCCTGCTTCAAGAAGAAGGATGACGAGTGGTATGCCGTCAATGGGATCGCCTCGAAGCCGCCAAGTTAGATGGTTAATCGTGCTCCTCACAAGGTCAATCAAGTCGAAGCGCAGGAATCCATGCAGGCTGCTGTAGCCCCCCCTGCTGATGTGCACCTTAACATGTTGTTCCTTGGCACTTCCATGATTAATGAGACAATTTTACGGTGTCCCAGCTCACAAAGCACCTCAGCCGCAATAGAGTTCACCCTTGATAGTGGGGCCACTCACACAGTTCTCAAGGAAGAACACTCCTTCAAGCCATACAAGACACCAATCCCTCTACTAGTAGCAGACTCCAGTTTTACAACACATGCCAAGGGCTCCTCCACAGTTCCGTGCCCAGCTTTCCCTTCGGGCAATGTCACCGGCATGTGTGTTCCCACACTACGCCATTATCTTGTGGGCCAACACGAGCTCCAATAGGCAGGCGCCACCACGATCTTCCCAGCACACTCGGATCACAGTGACCTCCTCGACCCTAAGTCCAACAAGCTCCTAGCACGCTTCACACTCAACAACAGCAAGCTCTACACGCTGCGTTCACCTGTACCTCTCGCCGCCGTCTCCCAAGCGCAAGCTGCCAACACCACTCCGTGTTCCTGTCGTAGCTTCGCCAACCCAACCATCCTCTACCACCATCGCTTTGGTCATCCCAACTTCTGTACACTTGCCGATATCGTTTCCAAGAAACTTCTTCTTCGCCTCCCGTCGGCACTTCCTCCACCAACAGACTCACCTGCACCCACCTGCCTGGACTGCACCAAGAGCAAGCTCAGGCAGCAGCCGTACCCTTCCTCCCCATCCGTTGCAGCTGCTTCGCTGGACCTAGTGCACATGGATGTTTGGGGCCCAGCTCCAGTCGCATCCCGAGGCGGTCATCGGTACTTTCTTACACTAGTCGATGACCACTCGCGGTATGTTTCCGTGCACCTCCTGCATACCAAGGCAGAGGCACCTGACCTCATCATGGCATGGGTGCGCCAGGCTTGAGTCACGTTTGGCACTCCTCTGAAGGGCCTCAATTCTGATGGCGGGGGAGAATTTCGCAATGGCAAACCTTCACGCTCCCCGAAAACCCGCAGCAGAACGGCATTGCAAAGAGCCGCAACCACACCTTGGTTCAAATCGCTCGCTGCCTCCTCGGTCACGCCAACGCTCCATGGTCACTCTGGGGATATGCCCTCTTCCATGCGGCTTTCCTCTACAATCTTTATCCGCATCCCCACCGGCCCGACACCACACCTACTACTCTCTGGCTTGGGGCCACGCCCTCTGCCCGCTCTCTATGCGTCTGGGGGTGTACCGCGTATGTCTTGCTCAGCTCCCATACGCGCACGAAGCAAGGTGGCAAGCTTGGTCCCAAAACTTAGACCTGCATGTACCTGGGGCACAAATCCGACTCCCCAGACTACTTATGGAAGATGGAAGATGGAAGATGGAGCATGGAAGATGGAGCATGGAAGATGGAAGATGGAACATGGAAGATGGAAGATGGAGCCTGGAAGATGGAAGATGGAACATGGAAGATGGAAGATGGAGCCTGGAAGATGGAAGATGGAGCATGGAAGAAGGAAGATAGAAGATGGAAGTTGGAGCATGGAAGATGGATCATGGAAGATGGAAGATGGAAGATGGAAGATGGAAGATGGAGCATGGAAAGTGGAAGATGGAAGATGCAAGATGGAGCATGGAAGATGGAAAATGAAAGATGGAGAATGGAATATGGAAGATGGCAGATGGAGAATGGAATATGGAAGATGGAAGATGGAGTATGGGAGATGGAAGATGGAGCATGGAAGATGGAAGATGGAAGATGGAGCATGGAAGATGGAGCATCGAAGATGGAATGTGGAAGATGGAGCATGGAAGATGGAGCATCGAAGATGGAGCATGGAGTATGGAGAATGGAAGATGGAGCATGCAGGTTGGAAGATGCTGCATGGAAGATGGAAGTTGGAAGATGGAAGATGGAAGTTGGAAGATGGAAAATGGAAGATGGAAGATGGAAGATGGAAGATAGAAGATTGAAGATGGAAGATGGAAGATGGGAGATGGAACATGGAAGATGGAAAATGGAAGATGGAAGATGGAAGATGGAAGATGGAAGGTGGAAGATAGAAGATGGAGCATGGAAGATGGAGCATGGAAGATGGAAGATGGAGCATGGAAGATGGAAGATGGAAAATGGAAGATGGAGCATTGAAGATGGAAGATGGAAGATGGAGCATGGAAAATGGAAGATGGAAAATGGAAGATGGAGCGTGGAAGATAGAAGATGGAGCATGGAAGATGGAAGATGGAAGATGGAGCATGGAAGATGGAAGATGGAGCATGGAAGATGGAAGATGGAACATGGAAGATGGAAGATGGAGCCTAGAAGATGGAAGATGGAGCATGGAAGAAGGAAGATAGAAGATGGAAGATGGAGCATGGAAGATGGAGCATGGAAGATGGAAGATGGAGCATGGAAGATGGAAGATGGAAAATGGAAGATGGAGCATTGAAGATGGAAGATGGAAGATGGAGCATGGAAAATGGAAGATGGAAAATGGAAGATGGAGCGTGGAAGATAGAAGATGGAGCATGGAAGATGGAAGATGGAAGATGGAGCATGGAAGATGGAAGATGGAGCATGGAAGATGGAAGATGGAACATGGAAGATGGAAGATGGAGCCTAGAAGATGGAAGATGGAGCATGGAAGAAGGAAGATAGAAGATGGAAGTTGGAGCATGGAAGATGGATCATGGAAGATGGAAGATGGAAGATGGAGCATGGAAAGTGGAAGATGGAAGATGCAAGATGGAGCATGGAAGATGGAAAATGAAAGATGGAGAATGGAATATGGAAGATGGAAGATGGAGCATGGAATATGGAAGATGGAAGATGGAGTATGGGAGATGGAAGATGGAGCATGGAAGATGGAAGATGGAAGATGAAAAATGAAAGATGTAGCATGGAAGATGGAAGATGGAGCATGGAAGATGGAAGATGGAAAATGGAAGATGGAGCATTGAAGATGGAAGATGGAAGATGGAGCATGTAAGATGGAGCATGGAAGATGGAAGATGGAAGATGGAAAATGGAGCATGGAAAATGGAAGATGGAAAAAAGAA